AACACAGCTTCAATACGCCCGGATAAACAGCACAGCCCACACCAGAACAGCCTGGACCAAGGGACCAGAGCCCTCTCTTGCTACCAGGAGGCACGGAAAAGCCGGGTGCCTGGGCTGGAGGAGGTACCCAGGCTCCCCCAGCAGTCAGGAGGGAGAGGGGAGCATCTCGAGGGATGACTCAAGCCTCTGAGACAGGCGCCTGAGCTAGATGGATCCAGCTGCCCTCAGGAAAGAGGTATCTCTGAAGGAGAGAGGGATTGAGACGTTGCTCCTTGCTTGGTGACACCCCAAGGAATCTTTGTGCCGCCCATGCCTTCAGCCCCTCGCATCCCGTCAGGCTGCCCAGGTGGACAGCCCATGCGTCACCGATCGGTACCAGGCACGTCACCGGGGCTCGGGAGCAGACCGACGCCGGCTCCCACCCTCCGGTCGGTCACCCACGATGAATCCCTGGCAGCTGACACCCACCTAAGAGCAGGAACTTTCTGCTGTCCCCGTAGAGCTGCTTCAAGTTGATGCAGAATTCGTGGATCGAAGCCCCGTTGCGATACTCGTGGAGGAGCATGGCGAACTGCTGGATCTCTTGGGAAGAGAGTTTCGTTCGGAGCTGCGGAAGAGATGCGCACCACAAATGTTGCTTTTTTTTTTTTTAGGAAGAAGAGATGATGGGAAGCCTGGGAATGGCATTTACTGGATTTATTGCTATTTGATAAGAGCTGCGGTAATGAACCAGCTCATCCCGATGGAAAAGCGGGCCAGGCTGGTGCGACCCAGAACTGAGCTGGCAGCTTTCAAACGGGGACAAGCTGTGAGTGTATGCAGGGCCGTGACTCGTGAAGCGAGGGACCTGGCGCGCCGTGGATGGCGTGACATGCCCCAGCGCAGTAAGAGGGGACAAGGGGGCAGGGATGCTCCTGCAGGAGAAGGATGTGACCTGAACGTGGGCTCTCGTGGCCTCTGAGCACAATCTGCGTGAAAAGGAGGAAGAGGAGATATTTCGACACCAGCGTGGGCTCATGTTCTACACACCAAGGTGACAATCCCAAATCCCAAGAGCACTCCGACATCCTAAAGGGAAGAAAACTCCTCCACCCCACCGTCCTGCAACCCAAGGGCACCCTTACCGTCATCATATAGTCCTGGAGCAGCTCTGTCGCCGTGGTGCTCAGCTCGCTCTCGCTGACTGTCTTAATGTGTGGAGACTGTTGCGTGGAGAAGGAAGAGGGGGAGTTGTCACCTGCATCCAAAGTTTCTGGAAAGGAACTGAAATGCAAACAGGCCGTGAGTCCTCCAGAGCTCCTCGGACACCTTCTTACATCTCTGTCGCTGGAGGTCACGGCATGGGAGAGCCTGGAATTGCGGAGAGGCACGTGGAGACACGCTCTCTCTGCAACAAAGCTGGCAGCCTTCCGCGCCCGGGAGCGTCCGAAGGCTCCCACGGCACGGAGGACTTGAACTACATTGGTTTGGTGACCTGCTGAAAATGAAGCCCTATGTGCTACCCCCTCCAACTGCTTTCTCATTTTGGAACAGCGAGGGAAAAAGTCTCAAGCCACCTTGTTCTGGCATTAAACATGAAATTCTCAAATAGCATCAGTCAATTTTAAACAACTGGTTTGTGTGTCAGGTTTTCAGCCCACAAACGCTGCCAATGTTTTCAGCAGTCACCGATTCAGGAGGGAAAAACTTTTCCAAAACAAAGGGCTTTGGGGGAAAACGTTTCTCCCAACTCCAGCTGGATTTCACCAAGGCAAAGCAGCCAGGCGAGCGTCGCGTCCCCGCTTTGCTGACGCAGGGGACTGCACATACACTGTGTACGTGACCTTCTCTGGCAAACCGCAGCAGCAGAACAATCCAGCCACGGATGCTGCGGCGGCAGGGACCACGGCTCCACATGCGGACAGTAAAAACACCGTCCAATGTTTCAGCCAGACTGAGCAGAAGCTTTTCAATGTGCAGACCGCAGCGGTTCCTGCTTCGGGGGCTTTAAACCTGGCAGCGAGGCTGCACTAATAAGCCCGAGTGCCCAGCGAGCTCAGCGTACCACACAACTTACAAAGTGCTTGCTTCCGTTTCGTAAGATTCCTTAACATCCACTTTTGTAGAAGAGTCGTCTGCAAGGAAAACATTCGAGACATGGAGTCGAAGAGGCAGAAATTCGGTGCTTTTCCCAATCCATGACTTACACGCACACTGACTTCCAACTCGGCCGTCTCGGCTGGACGGTGAGACAGCGGGGCCGGGGCCGAGCGGGGCGGTGCCAGGACTGGGTACAGACCCAGCAGAGACGCAGAACCGCGGAGGGACCAAGCACTGTTTTATTAAGCCCTTCCATCCACCGTGAACAGAGAACAGGGACAAGGATGATGGCTGATGTCCCACAGCCCAGCTGGGGAAACATCTGCACGCAGGAGGAAGCCCTCGTGCCCTTCCAACTCACAGGCAATTGAAGCAGAGGAGGGTTTTTTTTCCCCAGTACCCGCAGGAGGGAAGCCACCAGGCTCGCTCTGACCTCCGATGGTGGCAGAAGAGAGCTGATGGACGTTGGTGAAGATGGGGAGATACCCTCAGACGAGCTGGGTAAGATGGAGGCAAAAGGGGAGAGCACAGACTTACCGCTGTGTAAGGACATGTGCCGCGTCGGCGTGGACGCCCCATCAAATATTGCTCTGTCCAAGAAGTCTATCGTGGACTCAGTGTAAACAATCTGGAAGACTTGGCTGAGAAGTGAGCACAGCTCCTCGGCAGTCACCTGGGGAGGGAGCAAAGGAGGGCTGCTGGAAGGCAGAAGGTACTGTGGTGGCCTTTCTCTTTGGCTCCCTACGGCAGGCACACCACACGGGACAGTGGTGTGCTATATTTGTAAGGGTGTTGTCCTCCCAGCGAGGAGAGGGAACCCACTCATCCAAGATCCAGGACACTGCCTGACCTCCAGGGTCTCCAGGGCTGGAGGTGACAAACCTCTAATCTCCTCAGCTCCCTCCTGCTGTCCCCTGAGCAGTGCTAGAGGAGACAAACTTCTGAGATGTATCACCCCTCGTCATCCTCCCATACTGCCAGAGAAGCATCCCAGCTCCCTTCAGCCAGCCAGACCCGGGCGATAGGAGATCGAGTGCTCAGCTGTCAAGTCAGAGCTATGAAATAGCACCCAGATTTCGTGTCGATGCTCTGTCCTACTCCTCAGTTCAGCCCCCTGGGCCTCTGGCTACGTAACCTACATCCCAAACAGGTGCAGGCACCCCAGAGAGCGTTAGAGCTGGAAACAAGATGAGCAAAACTCCACTCCAAAGGCAAAGGGTTCCTGCTGTAGAAGTGGGAGCACACAGGCCGAGATCAGAATCTCTGGATCCAGACACCAGATGAAACAAATGTCCAGGTCAGCATCAGGAAAATGCCCTGGCTAGTAAAATCCTCTTGTGGGAGACATTCAGCTGTCTTCACAGATTTCCTGCTGCTGGAGAAAGCTCTGGGCAGCAGGCACCACCACCGAGGGAAAACCATCTTCAGATACCCTCTCGAGTTCTCATCAGGTCCCAGGGCTGGAGCAGGGACCAGGTTTCCTCCTCCAGGTACCACCTTGTACGCCAGCAAAGCCCAACCCACACCCTGCAGTCTTAAAACTGGGCCTATGTGTGTCACACAACGTACGGCCAGGTAAGCATCTGGTCACGTAATGGAGGGGATGCTTGGCAAGAGCAAAATGAGGCCGCCCTGGGGTTCCGGGGTCTCCACCATCAACCTGAGAGGTTGTGGCCACCTGGGTCTAAGGGCCAGAAAACCTCCCAGCAATCCTAGTCCCAGCGTCGTCACAATCAGAGAGTGACTCTGGAGGCAACCCCAATGTGGGACAGTTTTAATCAAGTGTTTTGAGTCTTACTTTGTTCTCCGTAGCCAGGACCACCAAGCAACAAGCTTCAACAGGAACCACCCCGCTCTCAGACAGCGAGCCTGAAGTAAGGGCTTTGGAGCTCTCGGCACAGAGACTCTGGCTTGGGGAGATCCCGGGGTCCTGAGCTGAGAAAGAGAGAAGTCGTGAGGGAAAGGTCGAGGCAGGGAGACAACAGCAAGGAGTCCTCACACGGCAAGCTGCCCTCCCAGCAGGCTGCCCGTGGGGAGAGCAAAGCCCCTGAAGCAGGAGGGCAGGGGATCCCGCAGCCAGGAGAAAATGCCCTCGAGGTGGGCGCTCTTGGGAGCCCAGGAACTCCACCGGAACACTGCACAGGGCCAAAGCCCAGAGAAGGGCAATATGCATCCAGAGAAGGGCGACGGAGCTGGGGAGGGGTCTGGAGCACAAGTCTGATGGGGAGCGGCCGAGGGAACTGGGGGTGTTCAGCCTGGAGAAGAGGAGGCTGAGGGGAGCCCTCATCGCTCTCTGCAACTGCCTGAAAGGGGGTTGTGGTGAGGTGGGGGTTGGTCTCTTCTCCCAAGGAACCAGCGACAGGACGAGAGGAAACGGCCTCAAGTTGTGCCGGGGGAGGGTTAGATTGGGTGTTGGGGGAAATGTCTTCACCCAAAGGGTTGTCAAGCCCTGGCACAGGCTGCCTGGAGAAGGGGCTGAGTCCCAGCCCTGGGGGGATTTAAAAGCCGTGTAGACGCGGTGCTGAGGGACATGGTCAGTGGTGGGCTGGGCAGTGCTGGGGTGATGGCTGGACTCGATGTTCTTAAAGGTTCTATGATCCTATGAAAATCTTTGAATGAAAAGCCTATAATTTAGAGCTGGTTTCTGACAACTCTGTAAATCATTGACTTCATTTCCATGGCTTAGCCAGCATCAGAAATCCATCAGCAGAATTACAGCCTTCTAAGTCACTTATTTATCCTATAGGCTGTCCTTTGCTGTCATGGGGTTTATAATCTGATAAGTCTCTCTCTCATTACATCCTCTAAGTAGCTCAGCTTTCCCCAAACACTCCAGCCCTAAAACCACGCAGGTTTGACACAGGCAGAGCTGCTGGGGACTCCCAGCAAGGCCCTCCCTGGTTATTACAAGAAGTGAGGTATGTCAGAAGTGATGGGGGTCACCCTGGTTATTCAACATGGGCAGTTAGACATCCAGCGCCGCGATGAAGTCCTCCCAGCACAAGGGCTGCAAAGAGCGGGGCAGGTCCGACACACATGGGGACCAGTCTGGAGGAGCTGCTTCTACCTCCTCTCCTTGCTGACATCCACAAAGGACCCCACAGACTGGAGCAGGACAGGCAATGCAGAACAAACTACTCCGCTTTAAGGTCCCAAATTTTTTTAAGAGGCAGTAAATTACAGCTCTCATTCGGGACTTGGCAGTTGCTGAAGGACAGGCTACAGGAGGAATTTCTAAGCTGTATGTGAGCCTGCAGTTCATCTCCAGCCACAACCCAACATCTTTCATCTCCCCCAGTGTGCTCACTCTTCTGTGATTCACAGCACCGCTGGGGGAACACGTGTAAACCCAGTCCTTCCTCCACCCCCCTAGGAAAAGACAGACTGAAACAATTCAAGGCAGGAGACTAGATAGAAGGAAGAAATTTTTCCCCATGAGGGTGGCAAAACCCTGGCCCAGGTTGCCCAGAGAGGTGGTGGATGCCCCATCCCTGGGAACACCGCAGATCAGGTTGGACGGGGCTCTGAGCAACCTGCTCTGGTTGAAGATGTCCCTGCCCATGGCAGGGGTTGGACTAGGTGGTCTTTACAGGTCACTTCCCACCCAAACCGTTCTGTGAGTCTGTGAAGGACACTGATTATTTTGGTTTGTTCTCACCCAGCATCGCCTTTGTCCTGTTTCTGGTCAGGCTGGCTGCCATCCTACACGAGGGTAACACTGGCTTGCTGTGGGGCTCAGCCCCAAAACACACGGGAACCCCAAAACACAAGGCTACAGCTTGCCCGTGGTGGCCACAACTTACCTGTTTTCAGCACGACCAAGTGAGCGGAGTCATCTCGGATGTAGGAAACGGAGGCAATGTCATGGATGGGGACCCTGAGGATGAGATCTTCTCCATCCCTCCACACCAGCTTGATGTTGTAGGCAGAGAGACTAATGACAGCATCGTGTTCTTGGGTCAGCTGCCCCGGGAGCTGGTGTGCTCTCTAAAATAAATGTATTTCCATTGATTTGCTGAGCTGTTTTCCTTTTGGTAACAATCAGGTAAGGGGCTTCCCTCCCATGGGGTGGAGGACATGAGTCAGACCAGCACCCAGCCCCAAGGAACCAACACAAGCCTTTTATTTTTCCATGCTGCATGTTGGAGACTACACGGAGCGGGTCATATCAACAGGCTGAGCGCTCACCTTTGCATTATCGATCAAATGCAGGATTTCCGTGCGGCTGGAGGGATTCAGGTACCCTGGGATGGATGTGAGTTGACCTAAATACTGGAAAAAGAGAACCAAACTGTTACCACAGCACAAGCATGGCCTTGAACATGCCAGCTGCTGCAAGAAAGACACCATCAAGACAGTGCAAAGGGCTGGTGCCCAAGCCCCTGCTGAGAAGCTGCTAAATACACCTGTGTATGGAAGATCTCTCATGCCTTTAAGTTATCCTAACGCTGTATAGCTATATATAGTTCTATACGAGCCCCAGCCAGGCACGCGTTACCTTCACTTCTTTCTCGATGTAGTCATTCAGCAGCACGTCTGGTTCGACGCGGTCAGGCAGGGACACCACCACCGTATGCAGTGGCCGTCTCTCCGTAACCTTCTCCTGGGCTTTTTTATCCCGACCTTTTTCACCCTTCAGGAAGACTCGTTTGAAAGGAGACACTATTCCAGGCTGCGGAGAGAAACAGCGGAGCATCGGGGTTAAGGGTAAGAGAGGGAGTTTCTGCACCAAAATGGGGGCAAACGGGCAGCAGCCGCTGCCCAGTGCTCCTCCAGCCCACACGTCCGCAGTCACAGCCTGGCTTTACCAGCCCCAACCACCCCGCAGACAGGCTGGGTTTAGAGCTACGAATCCACGAGCATGTGATCTTCTGCTGAAAACCACTTTCCCACAACATACTGCAAGAACACTGCTAAGCGCCCTTTACCAAAACAGGCCCTTTTTTCTCCCAAATTCACCGTGCGCCTTTCAGTTAAGAAAAAATACAAATAAATATTCAGATTGAGAGCTGTAAGAGTGAGCGAGTCACGGCCACGCAGAAAACCAGCAGGCTTCCTCCTCACCTCGGCGCAATTTTGTATTCACCCGAGCATTTGCAGGGAGCGACTTCAGGCGACGAAGGACTGTGAACAGGAAAGGCAGAGACGCTGCCAACCTGCCCGAAGTCCCAGGGGAGACCCACAAACAGGAGTACGTGACCCAGGAGATGGCCTCCCCTGGGAAAAACAGGTTTTTGAGGTTCCTGAACCACTCAGTGCTGGGTTTGGTAAAAAACTGGGAGCCAACACCAGCCCAGCTGGCAGCAGCGTGCACACACGGGCTCCCAGCTATAGAGGGAGCATCACCACCGTCCTTCTACCGCGGCGCGGGGCGGCCAGCCCGGGAACGCTGCAGGCCCCGGGGCTGTCGTGGCACAGCTGACCCGTGGCAGAGCCCTGGCCGAGCTCCATGCCAGCCTGCCCGATGGCTGAACGAGCGGGAGCGTGCACGGACTTCTCCAATTCCAAGTTTACCAGCTTCCCACCCCTCAGGGCAACTACGCTTTGGCTTTCCTGAGTCTCACAGGCAAGAAAAAGGACTGCACGATCTGCAGAGGCAGAAATGATGCTTTGAAAGGGAAATTAATGAAACATAAACCATATGCTCCTGCTCAGAAAAGCGTGGAGTGCTTTGCAGCCTCAAAGAGCAGCAGCCCCCTGCAAACTCAGCTCCGTCTCTTGCCGCCGTCCACTGCAGGACCTTGCCTTGGAAACCACCGTCAAGAACTGCAAACCCTTCATCTAAACCGCTTCAGCCTTGCTGTAAGACATTACATTTGGTGGGGGAGTGCCACCACCACGTCACCTACTCCCAGCAGCGTCCCTGCCCATGCAGAAGCTGATGTGCCGGGTTCAGGTGCACACATGGGACCTGCTCCCGTCAGGCAGCTTCAGCCTCTCTCGTTGCTTTTCTCAGTGTAGACGAGTGTGAAAGATCTATAGGAATAAGAGAGATCAAAGCCAGACTGAAATAAATTGAAACTGTTGTACTAGGATGGGAAAGTGGGATGGAAAAGCTCCTGGTTGAATAGTATTCACCAAATCCCAGAGTGAGCCCGGCACCACAAGGACGTCGGGGACAGTCCGGCCCTGAAAAAACATGCCTTGGACCAGGGAGATAAAAATAGAGTGAGTTTATAGGACAAAAGGGATAGAAAACACAGGTACGTGATGCTGGCCTCGTGAAACAGCTCTGCCTTTACAGCAGCAGGGCATGCACTGACAAACACCGCAGATTCTAGGGGCAGCATCCCTGCTCCGAAACGGAGCATCCTCCTGTGCTGTGCTACCCAGCTGGCTCCTGCCAAGGGGCTGGGAGACCGTTCCTGGCTCCAGAAAGAAGAAAATCCTGAAAAAAACAGGTCTCTTTGCTGAGACCGGAGCATGGGGCTCGACCCTGGCTCTGCCACGCTGACTACCAGGGTGTCCAACCCCAAACCTTGGCTGCCGCTGCATAAAGATGTCATTCCATCAGTATCCTTTAGGAATCAAAAGCGGAGAGATGCGGCAGTCTGCCGCCGGGGTCAGGGCTGTACAATGGTCCCCCGGACACGTCCCCTTCCACCAGCCGGGGTCCGACGGCTGCGGCTTGGTTCAGCTCTCTGTGCCAAGGCTGCTGGATCCAGCCCGATCCGCACGGAGCAAACCAGAAGAGGCTCTCGCTTTTCCTTCGAGGATGCAGGCAGCCTCCATAGGGCTGGGAAGATGCTGCAGAGGGATTCCCCACCACCCCACATGCCCGAGCCCCATGGGAGACCCAGAGGCTCTCCTTGAAGGAGGATTTGGGGAGCCCAAATCTCAGGCAGAGGCGTCACCCGGCATGACGCAACGTGGAACAACAGCTTCTGCGTTTCTGGGAGCCTATCTAAAACCAGCACCTACCTCGTTCTCCATCGAAGTACCCGGCTACAGAGAGCAGAACCAAACCGTGCCGGCGCAGAGCCTTTGGTGGCTCACCGAAAGCACCTCCGGGGGGAGGGAGAAGCTGCTACCCTTGTCTCAGAGGCTTCCGAAGCTCACGGCCCTTGCCGAAGGGCTAGCAAACTCATGAGCTTTCATTCGCCTGCCAGCTCGCGGCCAGGAAGTGCGATAACCACAGCTTCCTTCTGTTACACGCAGCAACAGCGACAAAATAAAGCTGTTGGTGAAGAATCGGTAAGGTTTGGCAGCAACGGGGCCGGGCGTGAGGCGAGGTGAAGGGGAAGAAGCCCGTTTTGCAAAGCTCAATCCCATTCCTGGCTCCCAGCCACGCTATCCCATCTCCTGCACCCCTAAGCCCCTGGAAACCCCCCGGAAACCCCCCAACATCCTGGACTCGCACCCGGCTGCACCCAGGATGGAAATACCCCCAGCCCACAGGGGTCCTTAACCCTGGTTTCTCCTCCGAGTTTCACAGCTACTTTGTTCTCCAAGGTCCAACAACATCTATGGAGACCAAAGGCTGTAAAGGGTTTTTAGGGCCCCTATTTTGAGTCCTTATGTTTCTCGCTCACATTAGAAAAGGAAAGCTTGGAAATGAGGTTAAGAGCTCCCCGTCTGAGCCAAGGTGTCCCAGGAGGCACTTTGGGAAAGCGCAAAGTGTTCAAGCGAGCCTTGCTGGGCTCAAATGTGAGCCCAAGAGTCAGGCTCAGAGGTCTAATGAAAACGAGTTGCTAATTTCACAGACTGAGAATCAAATTAAAAAGGCGAAGGCGGCGATTTCCCTGATGAAATCCGCCCGTTAAGCAGAGGCAAGGTCGGCTGCAGAAGAAGCACCTGAAGATCTGCCAGGCTGCCAGCCACCCGCAGCCTCTCCGGCGCTTGCACCGAGCAGATCCTCATCTTGGGATGGAAGCGAATCCCTCCGGCACGCTGCCTAGTTAGTAGGTCTGGGGAAAGAAGGATCCCATTTCTCCTTAAAACCCATAAAATAAGTTTGTTTTCTTTTTTCCCCCCTGTCCTTGTTCACGATCCCAATCCCTGAAGGTGGTTTCCCAGCCCACCTCCCTGCGGGTCTCCCTGGTCCCTGTCTGGAGACAAATTCTGTGGCAGAACGACTTGAGCATCTGCTGCAGAAGCCCCTGGGATGGGGAGCAAGGCTCAGCCAAAAAGACCATCCCAGCTGCTGGGAGCCCATTCCCACACCCTCCACCGTTTGCGTCTCAAAAGCATTTATGTCTTGAAGTCGGGCGAAGAGGAAGGGAAGGGGTTATGTGAACACCCTGCGCCAGCCAGGACTTGGCATTTTGTGGAGAGCTGCCGCCCCCGGCAGAGGATGGCCATGGTGGTCACTCCTCAGGGGCTCCTGCTGCTCTGGCTCCAAAATTCAGGAGGAAAACAGTTATTTCATCTACTTAATGAGGCATTTAAGACTCGAGTAACTGAGAGAGACCATCTCATGGCTGGGTTTAGCCTGCGAGGCCAGACCGACATCAGGCAGGGGGCTCTGTGAAGAACAGCAGCTGGGCTTGGATTTTTTGGGGAACCCCAGCCCACCCCACCCCATGTACGTTCACATACATTGGAACCCAACAGCATCCCCCCAAACCCACCCCCGGGCCCAGGGACACTCCTGGCCATGGCCAGCCCTTCCTTGGATTTGATGGCCCGTGTGGAAGAGGTCACATTGGCTGAGCTGCCTGCTGCTGCTCCAGGGGCTGCAAATTCAGTGGAAATAGGACAAACCTCCAGAGAAAAGCCGTGAGGCCAGCAATAGACTGGGGCTAAGCCCCCCAGCCTAGGCTGGACACAGCCATGAGCTGTCAGGAGAGACAGAGACACAGCAGGGTCCAGAGAACCCCTCACCACCCCAGGCTTGCATCTGTGTTGGGGTGATATGTCCCTCCGATGCCATTTCTCCTGTCTAAAGCAAGTAAAACACATAACGGGGGGTTCACCAATCCCACCACCTACATTAGGACTTGTCTGCAACTATCTGCCCCTCTGTCACTGGAGACCAGCCGCCGCTGAGGTGCGATGATGGCCGAGGCAGCTCCCTGCAAGGGCCGGCACTGCTCACTGCAGCAGAACCTGCTGCTGTCCCGCTCTGTGGAAAGCCCTGGGTGGGCTGCCCTCTGTGGAAGGGCCGGGGTTGTTAAACCGGTGCTAATCTCAGTACTAACCTATCCTCAAACCTTCAAGATGCTGTTCAAGAAGGAAGCTCCATGCTCTCCTGCCCTCGAAAGCTCTCGAGGTGACTGTGGACGCGAGGAGTTAAATCAAAGGAGTTTGCAACCTCACTAATACCCCAGCAAAGCGCTTGCAGCTCTCTGCACGCCCCCAGCGTCTCACAGCACAGACTTCAAAAAAACCCCCCACCTCATCAGGGCTTGCTCACCCACCCCATGCCCCTCTGCAACCCCCGGCCAGCAGTGCATCCTGTCCCCAGCTCTCACTGGGCTTCAGAATTCCCAAGAAAGCCATTTCTGGGAAAAGGGAGGATTTGCCCTTCATCTAGATCGCCTTTACTCTGACTGGAGCATCAGGGCTTTTGCGAAAATTTCTGGGAGGGGGTTTGCTGCTGAATGCCGTCCGGCACAGTGGTTCGTGGCAGAGCCAGGAATTAAACCCCGATCGACGCAGTGCCGGACCACGGAGCAGACCAGGACCTTCGCCCATGTTTCAGAAGCTACAGAAGATCCTGGAAAAGCCACCTCTGGGACCATGAGCGCACGCAGGAGGACAGGGCTCATATTAAGGTGTCGCCCCACTTCCGTGCTGCCGAGCAATGCCACGACACGGGGGACGGAGCCGGTTCTAGTGTAGTGCTTGTCGGCCACCGGCGCTGGAGTTTGGGCTGCTTTCACCCAGGGCTCAGCTGCCGTATCCATTCAAAAAATCAATGAGGTCTTGGACAGCCCCTTTAAATATCTTCAACCCTTTGAGCTGAACACAAAGGAGAAAGAGCATCCCTCTCCCTAACAGCTTCTTAATCCACTCCAAGGGATTATCTCAAATGGAAATGTGTAAAGCTAATTCTCCCCCGACACGTCTGCATGGAGATTAAGGGAGATCGAACTCCAAATGGCCACCCAGTGTTTCCGCTGGCCAGCATGCTGCACGTCCCCAGGGACAGCCTGCACCCCAAACCCAGTTATCCTGCTCTTAAAGGGACGCAGGGCAGGCTCCCTGAGGGTAAAGCCTAGAGCGCTTTACCCCAGAACCAGGCTATGTTCCGGAGTGGAGCAGAAAGCCAACCTCGAGCGCACCGATGATGCGAAGGCTGGACTTGGCGGAGGAAGCATCTGCACAAAGGGAGCACGTGATACGGCAGCGGGTGAAATAATTAACCAAGCCCAAAGGGGCTCTGGGTCAGCTTACTGCCAGCGAAGGAAATGAGGAAACGAAGAAAAGGACCACAGCGGCATGCGTGGAAGGACAAGAAGTCACGCAACGTGCCTGTAATAATAAAATGTGAAACCAAGCAAGAAAAAACACGTTCAGCGTGTTTAGAGAAGACTTGGCTCTTAAGAAATAAACTCCAACCAGCCTCCAGCATGGTGATGCCATGAAAACATGGGCTCTGAGGGTTCAGCTTTGCTCCATGGCCTGATGGCAATGAGAGCATACCTGTGAATTATGATCTGGGAAAGCCAGACGCGTGATGAGTACGTACTCGGTATCCTCAAAGTAAAGCAGCAAGTGCACAGCCCTGCCAAAAAAAGGGTTTATTATTTATATTCCTTTGCTCCACAGAGAAGCATGGCAACACAGGCAGGACCGAGAGGCTGGGTCAGGGCTCAGCCCCCAGGAAACCCAGGCAGAAAGCAGAAAACAGCCTGGTTTTATATCGACCTTCACGTTTGCTGTTCCTTCACACCACCTCAACACAAACACACGCTCCAAACACAAAGCTGCAGACTGCCACAGGTCACTCAAACAATAAAACACCAGCTCAACTCCTGAGCTGGCAGTGATGGGATTACAGCGGCGCCTGCTTAAAAACCATTTTAAATGCCAGCAAATGCCCTGCTGCCTCGGGAACAGCATGCAGATCTTTCACAGCCCATAACTGCTGGATTTCCCCACTCCTCCATCCTTAACAGCCAGGTCTGTAGGGCAGCATCACGCATTTAGGGGCAGAGAGGCTTGGCCAGGGGTACCGGGGGGAAGCAGAGGGTCAGGACCGCATCCATCAGGCTTTGAGCATCGCCAAGGATGGAGAACCTGTGGCCTCCGGGGCAGCCTGTCCAGCATTCGACCACCTCACAAGTAAAGAAAGTTTATTACGCTTGAATACAAGTCGCTGTGTTTCAGTTTGTGCCCGTTGCCTCTTGTCCTGACACTGGGAAGAGCCCGGATTCTCCTTTTCTCCACTGTCCTCCACGAGGGGTTTATATACATTAATAAGATCGCCCTGAGCCTTCTCCACTCCAGGCTAACCAGTCCCAGCTCTCTCAGCCTGTCCTCATATGGAAGATGCTCCAGGTCCTTCGCTATTTGCTGGATTCACTCCAGTACATCCCCCTCTCTTGTACTGGGAGCCCAGTGCTCCCGAGGATCACCCCTGCCCCCGGGCAGCCCGGGAGGCTGGTGGCCATTCCTGCCACGAGGACGTGTCGCTGGCTCACCCTCGCCTTGGTGCCCACCAAGACCTTCTCTGGTCCTGGACCAGAACAAGGCAAAAGGGTGCAACAAAGTACTGGGAGCAGCTACAGGCGTTCGGGTAGATGTGACCTGTTCTAGACCACCCTGTCCCTGTAATTAGGTTTACTTTGACTTGGCCAGTACCCAAAGAAGCCACCTACGTATTTGGACTTGCAGGAGGTTGGTCAAAGGAGGCGCCTGCTCCTGCCTGTGTTACGCAAAGGACTGAGCCGCTCAGGAGACCACCCTCAACTGTCTTCTACAACCCAAACATCCAAGCGGAGGCCAAAATCCACGCTCCACAAGCGGCTCAGCAACGCAGGCAGCAA